AGCTGTCAGCACAGAGCCCAATGCGGGCCTCGAACCCACAAACCATGAGGTCATGACCTGAGTGGAAATCGGAAGCTTAACCAACTGCCTTAGCCACCCAGGTGGCCCTGCAACTTTTTCTTAGGGTGAACGTTTCCTACTTAAAAATAAAATGACGATATTTTACAGGCCTGTGAACCCATAGTGATTCATTTGGCCCAATTCTCCCCCTGAGGGGGTGGGTGGTGGTGGGAGAGGCTGGTTGGGGTTGGGCTGGCACGGGGTGTGTACTGAAAGCCTGTTTGGCCTTAAATGACCCGAATGGAGGAGAGGGAGGATGGTTAGAAAGGTACGATTTTCTCTAGTTGATGATCTAGGACAACTGCATAGTGCTAAGACGGAATCATGTTGTAGGAGAGATGCTGTAGATGCGAGCCTGGGGAAAGAGGAAGGCACTAGAAGGCACTAGAAGAGGAAGGCACTGGCCTTCTCAGGTCCTCCCATCATCTGTGCATCAGCCTGTTTCACGTGGGGCCTTTGTCTGCTTCCCCGGGGCTCCTTGGAGAAGTGCAGCAGGAGAACCGTAGCTGAAGACTGAAAACGCAGATGTCTGATGGCCTCCCAGACATACAGCGACAGGACTGCGGAGTGAGGGCTCATTGCACAAATTTTACTGGCTAAACACAAACATTCAATTGTACTGTGCTGGTCGTAACATCTTCTGGCATTTCTTCACTTATTTCTGTGCTGGACACCTCTAAAAAAACTGGAAGAGAGCCAGCTCTTGGGACCTCTGAAAGGCCCCAGCTATCAGGAAGTCATGCAGTACATGAGGAGAAGACAGGATATTTATAAAACCTTTCACTGCTTTCTGCAGAAGAAAGCTGGGCCTCGAGACTCCCGGTCACCAAAGTAAATCACCAAATACAAAACCAGCACAAAACAGATGAAACTAAAGATACCTTTGACTGGCACCCTTTTCCTGATCTTGCTATCCTCAAAAAGTAGCCATGATTCGGAGGAGTTCAATATGTCTCCTTCTAGATCTTTTTAAATTAAATTAAATTAAATTAAAAAAATTTTTTGAAAGGGAGAGAGGGAGAGAGAGAGCAGCACAAGCGAGGGGGGTGGGCAGAGAGAGAGAGAGAGAGAGAGAGACTCCACACTGACTCAAGGCTCAATCCCACAAGACTGGGATTATGACCTGAAGCCAAAATCACGAGTCAGACACTCAGCCAACTGAGCCACCCAGACACTCCTTCTAGATCTTTAAAAAGAAACACGCACACACAGAATAAATAATGTTATTTTATGTTATTTTATTTTACATATTTGGTATATACATAAACCTAAAGCTGCTTTATTCGTTCAATACTACTTTGAGGCTTACTCATGCAACTACATTTAGATTTATTTCAATACTTTGGCTGCTGAATAGTACTCCCTCATTTGAAAGTACCACTTTTATTTAACCATTCCCCTACTGAAGGACATTCAATATTTGTTAAGGATCCGATGTATTCTTCCAGCCCACTGAATATTTCCCTTCTTGGAAGTCTGAGTGTACTTTATTCTCTTTGGTTGATTCAGAGTTATGAGACCTGTCTCCCATGCTAGTACGTAAACTTCTAGAGTATAATATATGGTATAATATGCATGCTGTCATATTTGGTGAATGATGAACTGTGGGCTTTTAACTCCTTCGGAGGGCTTAATAGAAGCTTTGGACCCAATGAATTCTATTAATTGATTTCTTCCCCTTTCCTAAAAGAGCTTTGTATTTTCAAATCAGATTCAACTAAAATTCAGTTCCTTTCCCAAGCCAGGTTAATAGTGATCAGCATTCCCTTAAGATGTTCCAAGTCCTGACACTGGGGATATAATGAAGGTTGTACCTTTTAAAGATGAGTGAGTGTGTGTGTGTGTGTGTGTGTGTGTGTGTGTGTGTGAGAGAGAGAGAGAGAGAGAGAGAGAGAGAAAAGAGAGGGACACAGGGACTGAAGGACACAGAAAGAGAGAGATAGACTCAGAAACAGAAAGAGGAAAAGGAGGAGGAGGAAGAAGAGGAGGAGGAAGAGGAAGAGCAGGAAGGGGAGGAAGAGGAAGGGGAGGAGGAGGAAGGGGAGGAAGAAGAAGAAAATGAAAGGATCCAAAGCTGCCTTGGGGTGTGGCCTTGTGGCCCTTGCTGGCCTGGAGACAAAGCCAGCACAAAGGGCTGATTCTCTTTGCAATAAAATCTGGAAAACAAGCACTTTTCCTTCTTTTCTTTTAAAAATCTCATCCTGTCACTTTTACTTTACACTTTTAGGTTGGTGGTGTCAAAATCAGTTTCATTTCTTTCCCTGGAAGCTTTATGCTCAGACACTTTAGGTTTCCTTAAAAAAAAAAAAAAAAAATTAAAAACTTAAGCCCTTTCTAAAAGGGATAATGAAAAAAGTGCAAAGTCTTCATAGCCACTCACCAGAGATTCCCCCCGACCATTCAGCCAGACCCTGAATTATGTCATTAACAGCTAGCCTGAAACTGGGAAACACCTTGTGAAAGAGACTCCATCATTATATTGTTTGTTAGAGGAAAGGAGAAGGTGTGGGGGGATTAAAGCAAATAGGTATTGGGGGGCTTCTCTGTGTTTGTGTTTTGCCATTTTTTCATCTCGTGAAGTCACTTTCATTGCTTCCTATTATTAGACACCTTCGGCAGCAGTTTTTGCCTTCTTTAAGTCTGATCCCTTTGCTCTTGCCAGGGTCCCACCTCCCCTCCCCGCCCCCCTCCACCCCCAATGCGCATATGCTCATATACATGCAATTCTGCAAAGAATTTCGAGGACTTCAAAAATTCCCTGAGACCTACAGGACCTGAAGGAAGGCAAGGTTGGCAAAGATCCAGCTGTATGCAGAAACACTGAAAGCGATGGGCACCATAAGCATTGATAGTTGCAAAATATAGCCAATCTCCGTATCTGGACGCTGGAGAAAGAAATGCTGATCCTGAGTGGGCCTTTTCGGACACCACCTTATCTGTTATGGATAACAAGAGTAACCATGTGTCATGAGTACATCATCGTCTCTGAATACAAAGCTTGACTCTGTGTCTGGAAAACGCTGGACGAGACATAAGACTGTACCGATAATGAGGAGATTTTCTCATCAAAAATATCTACACTTGTGACAAGGGCTACAAGTGAGTGACTAAATGGTCTTGTCCATCAGTGCCCTTCACCCCAATTTCTTATCACATCCTTTGCATCATTTCCTTCAGCAGCTACTCTAACCTCGAAGCCATTCTTAGTCCTTCTTCCACTTCCAAGTCTTCTTATGCCATCTCCCGTAGACCGAATCTATTCCAAACCCTCAGCCATTCCAAAAAATCATATTCGCATAAGATTCCTGTTAGCACAGTAACTCTCACCATGCACAGAGTGACTGCAATGTGCCAGCCAAGCATGTAGCACTTAAAACGCACTATGTACAATTTATTAAATCCTTAAAACAAATCTGCTGTGGAGATAGTAGCATTTCCATTTTAAGGGGGAGAAGCCTAAGGCCTAGAGAGGAGTCAGTTCTGAAGGTCACAGAGCAAGAAATTGGCAGAACTGGGTTCAACCTTAGTTCCCTTTGTCTGCAAGCTCTCGGTCCCGTTGGTTGCTGCCAGAGTCTCATTTTGTCAGACGATTCTTAAAATTCCAGAATTCTCAGTTTATATGTGTTCTTACCCTTCTTTGGCTCATAGAATATCTGATCAGAAAAGGCCATCTTGTTAGAGGCAATCTTGTAGGATGCTTACACTTTACAAATAAGGAAACTGACAGTGGACTAGGATGGGTTACTGTTCCAAACATGGCCTTCCCCTTACGGGTTCTGAGGGGGCAGGAACCACGTCCTCTGGGAAGTAATTTCATACTTCTCCTACCATAGCCCTAAGTACACCACAAGTCTCCATGTGGACTTTGGTGACCATTCCAAAAGGGGCAGAAACTAAAGTCCAGAACCTCTGAATAACCAGAGCAAAGGAGGGCCAAACTCAGATGGCCTCTACTTCAAAAGGAATAGAACAATCTAAGGTGTGCCCCTTCCTATTTGCCCCAGGGGAACCTAAGGATGTTGCCTGGTCCTGGGAGCAAGTGTAGCAATGAAAACAAGACATGTAAAATCACAACAAAGGAGGCCCAAAAAGCCAACACCTGCATCTTAAAGCCACTTCTACAGACAGCAGTGACATGTAGCCCAATTAAGCAGATAATTTCAAAGCCCTGCACTTTAAGTGAGCAGTAGCTGGAATTAGGAGGGAAAGGACAAGTCGGTGTGTGAAAGCTTGCCTTTAGGTTTATTATTGAGCTAGAATAACAAGTGATCGCCATAGTTCAAATGTGTTTAGAAAGCCCTGAATCAGATAACTATTATGCCTTGCACTGTCCTTGAAAATGCAAAGATAGAAAAGGAAGAAATCATCTAAGGGTAATAAACCAGGGAAACCAGAGACTAGCTGGAGGTGTGAGCTGTAGATCATTAGTACTGATGCTTATAAACACTTACTGTATGACAATAGTTGACAAGCTCTATCAAGAGCAGAGCAGTCAACCTGGTTCCAATCTCTCTCCAGGCGAGAGAAAAAGAATCTGTTTAATCAGCATTTTTATTTTCTAAAAAAGGCAGTTTAGGTCACCCTAATGCTTGTAACCTTAATCTGTGTCACTTCATTAGGTTATTCGAGAACATCAAAACACAAAGTACTATAGTTAATAGATCACACGTGAAAAATAGAGGACACACTGAGCAGGTCAATGACCTGGGATTGCCTGAATTAGCTTCATTTCACTTAACATCTCCAAGCTTTCCTCTGAACTATTTTGTAAATAAGTATGATTAAGTACAAGCTGCTGCATAAATGTCCAATGTAAGTATGTATGTGTATAAATACATATGTATATATACACATATATATTGAATATGTACATACATATATATAGTATGTATGTGTATATTACATACAGAGAGAGAGAGAGAATATATTGCGACCACTTGGTACATCCAGGTACTGAGCCTCCTGTCCAGCTGAATAAGTTAGTCCACTGGGCTCTCAAAGTATAAATTCTGAGCCGTCTCAGGATGCATGCACGTTTGCTCAATCTGTAAACACGTAATTATTGAACTTGCCTTCTAAAGTAACACCACACCCTGGATGTGATGCAAAACCCAGCATTACAAGATAAGCTCTGTCTCAAGTTTCTGCTCGTTATAGTGCCTGAAGTATTTGCTCATAAGCTCAGGGACTGAAGCAGAAGTAAACAGTCGGGCCAGTATTATAGGGACACCTGTGTTACAAAACTTTCTTACATTGTGAAAGCAATGAATGAAGTTCAGCAGGACTCCTGTAAGAATGCCGATTCATCCCACATCGCGTTGGTCAAACAGGACTTCGACCTTATCGCCTCCCTCTCTCCCTCACCCGCCCAGGTCAGTCTACTTTCCTCGGGTATCAGATCCCAGCTCCAGGCTGGGTATCAGATCCCAGCTCCAGGCCGCGGGGCACAGCTACCCCACCTCACCTCCTGTCTGTCTTCTGTCAACGCCTCATTCAGCTACATTAGCCGGGCCTGCCCTCCATATGCCCGGCTCTCAGGTCTCGAGCGAGCCTCTGCACAGCACATATAACATGCCTGGGCTCATGATTCTTTTTATCTTCAAAATTCTTCAACTTTGCACACTTCCTTTGTGAATCCTTCTCTAATTAGACAGAGCACATTGCTCTGGACCAGGGGCTCTGGCACAACTTTGCACTGTAGTTAGGTATGATTGTTGATCTCCTCCTCCCTGCCCACCCCCCCATCCCGCCGAGATGTGACATAGCTGAGTGACTAATAGTGAGAACTTGGAAGCCAGATGAACAGGGCTGGGATCCTGGATCCACCACGCACTGACTCTGCCTCAGTTTCTTTACCTGTAATAGGTAGGGAGGTAACCAACAAGCATACAATAGTGACTGGTGTGCAGCAAATGCTATTTAAGCACAAACATAATAAATGTGAATAACAAGCAGCAGCTCCCATCTGCCTTAGTGTTCAGGAGACAACAGGAAGTGATGGGGCTGCCTCTGTGGTGAACTGTCAGGGATGTGCCTAAAATGGTGACTGCTGCATCGGCCAGCTATCCCGCTCAGAGGTCCCTGGCCTAGTGTGGCCAGCCATTCACAATTTCAAGAGAAGAAAAAAAAATCCACATTTTGGGATTTCAAATTATTGGGTTACATTTTTTTAAAGATTTTATTTTTAAGTAATTCCTACACTCACCACGGGGCTTGAACTCATAACCCCAAGATCAAGAGTCACATGCTCCACCAACTGAGCCAGCCAGGCGCCCCTTATTGGGTTACATCTTAAAAATTAATGTTTGAGGGGCGCCTGGGTGGCGCAGTCGGTTAAGCGTCCGACTTCAGCCAGGTCACGATCTCGCGGTCCGTGAGTTCGAGCCCCGCGTCAGGCTCTGGGCTGATGGCTTGGAGCCTGGAGCCTGTTTCTGATTCTGTGTCTCCCTCTCTCTCTGCCCCTCCCCTGTTCATGCTCTGTCTCTCTCTGTCCCAAAAATAAATAAAAATGTTGAAAAAAAATTAAAAAAAAAATTAATGTTTGAGCCAAATAAGGCATGTCTGGAGGCAGATTTCGCCCTGACGTCACCATTTTGTGACCCCTGACATTTATGAATCTATAATGCGGTGTGTATGAGTGTATGTGTGTTCATGTACTTCCATTTTTCTGTTTATTTTCTATACTTCTTCTTCAATTCAATATCCTAGAGGCAGAAGAAAGCATGCAGAAGGTACTCAATTAAATCCAGCTGCCCAATGAAGGTTTGTTAATAACCAGACACCAATGACACATTTCTGAAATAAAAGAATGGGTAACTTCATTTCACCCACATCTAGTGCCCTCTCTTAAAGTACATCTTCAGGTCAACAAACAAGGCCCTGGGAACACAGTATGAACCACGTGTCGTCCCTGGTCTTGAAGAACATACAGATGTGGGGGGGGGCACAGGAATGCAGACAACTGTAATGTTTACAAAACACACGGACACGTGTTATTACATTCACATCACAAGAACCCAATGCAGTAAGCACAGCACGTGATTTTATACCCAGTGTCCAGAAAAGACATTGAGGCACAGAGAGGTTAAGTGACTTGTCCAAGATTATTCCACTAGTAAGTGGAATTGTAACAAGAACCCAGTTCTGCTGTCTGCACACCCTAACTGCACATCCGGGTTCTTTCTGCTGCACGCTCATGTTCTCGCACATCATGCGTGTTTTCCGGTGCCTGTGAGTGCTAGAGAAATCAAACTCGTTAAGAAAGTTGATATCCAGTGAGTTGGAAGGGGGCACTGATAGACTCTTGGAATGCAGGCTTTGAAAAGGACCTGTGAATGGTTTGGGAAGTAGTTTTCTTCTCATTAATTATAATTTTGGATTTACTGGAAAAGAATTTGAGGGCACTTTCAACGAAACATGATGCCATTTATTTTTTTTAGAAGATTAAAAGAACAAGGTAAAGAAGGGAAACAGAGGTGAAACCATGGTTTCAGAAAATTGAGGGTAAATATAGATAGCACAAGAGGGCACAAATCTTAGTTCTGAGTTTCCTGCCAGACAAGGCAAACTGAGAGTGACGAAGTTTCTGTTGTTTATAAAAGAAGGCAGACTAATTTTAAATTTAGTATATATTTATCTCCACTTGTCTAATTCCGAATCACATAGCAAAAATTGGTATTCTTATGGAAAAGAATGATTTGAAAATGTAGCATTTTATCAAAAAACCCAAAAAGCTGATTTTTTACATTTATAAAATCTGTGGTTGATCAGAAAATTTGGAAATTTATAACATACAGACTAGCACATGAGTGCCCATAGTAAGGGTCTGGCATGTTCCGTAAGAGGAAATGGGAGAAGTGGAATCCAGTTTAGGACTGTGTAGCAGAGTATTGGAACTGTTATTTGGGGGCGAGGGTTAGCAAAGGGTTGCCCTCTTCATAAATAGCATAGATTTCAAGTTTTTTTTTTTTTTAATTTTTTTCAACGTTTTTTATTTATTTTTGGGACAGAGAGAGACAGAGCATGAACGCGGGAGGGGCAGAGAGAGAGGGAGACACGGAATCGGAAACAGGCTCCAGGCTCCGAGCCATCAGCCCAGAGCCCGACCCGGGGCTCGAGCTCACGGACCGCGAGATCGTGACCTGGCTGAAGTCGGACGCTTAACCGACTGCGCCACCCAGGCGCCCCCAGATTTCAAGTTTTTAACCAGGTGAGCTATAGCCAAAAGGTGCATCAAACACAAGATGGTATTCAAAGGCCATGAGGACATTTCATCATTTGTTCATTCATTCGGCAAATAGATTCTGAGTGCCCACAGAGCAGGCATTCATGCATCATCCTCAGAGATGGAGACAGAGCAACAAACAAATCAGGCAAAAATCACTGCCTTCACCAAGCTCTCTGGAGGCAAGCACAGCATGTTGCACAGATTAAAGATGGAGGCATACATTGTTTATAAGCAGGCTGGAGTTCCCACAGCCATACAGTGATCCAAATCTGTTGTCCTAAAAAGGCTGCAGCCCTGTGTTCCTGAGAATCTTGAAACAGACGCTTGGCTTTTGTCACCAAACTATCTAGAGTGTAGGAGCAGCTAGGAAAGGGAGGAGCCTACCACAGAACAGGGCTGAGGCCTGGATCCCACCTTCCAAAGTTCAGTAAGGATGAAGGGTCGCCTCCCCTCCTGCTGCAGAAAATAGCCAACAAGCCCCTCTCCCAGTCTGATGAAAATGGTCCTCTTGTAGAAATGGCTTTAAGAAGCAGCTGGCAGATGTAAAGCCATACTAGCCATAGAAGCTGCTAGACAAGGTACAAACAGAAATAAATAAGGTTTTTTAAAACCCATACAGGCATTTATTCTACCAACCATTTATTAAATTCTCACTACATATGCAAATAGCACTGGGCTAGGTACTGGGGGCTGGCACATGGTTCCAGCCTTCGTGTGCCTTATGTTCTAGAAAGAGTCAGACCTTGAACAACTCATTAATTAACCAATTAAAAGTAGAACAACTACTGGGAAGAACCATCAGAAGCTATAACAGCAAATTAGAATTAATCTAGTGCCAGAGGGGCGCTGGTTGGCTCAGACGTTTAACCATCTGACTCTTGATCTCAGCTCAGGTCTTGATCTCGGGGTTCTGAGTTTGAGCTCTGCACTGGGTGTGAAGCTTACCTGAAAAAAAAAAAAAATCAACGTAGTGCCAGAGAGTCCAGGAACCTTTAACACAGTCTGACTCACCTTTTCTCTCTCCCTTTCCCACTCCCCTTTCCCACTCCCTCTCACCGCCTCCCCCTCCCATCTCTCAGCCACACACACAAACACACACACACTGATTCACACAGTGGTACACACGCAAGTGCACACACAGGCATACATAACTATGATGTAATAAAGCATCTCTTGTCTTCCTCTTTCAAAGAGGCTTTTTGGGGGTCTGGAAATGCTAAGGATGCTATTCCTTCTGGTTTTCTGGCCAACAGCTTGCAACCCTGGTAAATCCCATGGCCAAATTTTCTACTCTGAGCTAAGAGGCAGCCAGGTCTAGAGGGAAAATACATACTGAGACCGATTACATCTTCAAATGTCTTTAGACCTTTGTGTTTATGGTTGTGCTTGGTCCTTATTGATAGTTAATTAGAATGTACAAGTCTAAAACATGAACTTGCCAGAGAGCATAGTGTTCAAAATGAGAATGACTGCTTTTCCATCAGACTGTGTGCTGATCGACAGCAGCTCGTGTTGCGTATTGAAACTAAGCTAAGCTACATAATAACAGAAGATGTAAAAGCTAAACTTGAAAAAATAAAATTTGGAGTCTATACATACTGAACTTTGATTGGCTATCAAATTGTATTAATCAATAATGTCAAATTGGAAAAAAGCGTAAGAAAAGCAGGTAAGAAACATTATTTTGGACAATATTAAGCTAGGCGGATTTTAAAACTTTTTACTTATCTAAGTATAAGGGGTGGTAAATAAAAATGAGAAGATACAAACAAGTATCCAAAAGAAGATCAACATACAGCCATGCATAACTATGTGAAAATGTATTTAACCAATTCCATATTATTGGGCATTTGTGTTTTTTCTAATCTTTACCACAAATGCTTTAACGAACGCATCTCTCGTTATTTTCTCATGATAAACTCTTAGAAGTGGAATTTCTTAGTCGGACAGCATTCAGATGTTTAAAATCAGAGTTGAAGCAATAGACAAATTCAAAGTCACTTTAAATTCTTTCTTTAAGGTACTTGCAACACATTCAAACTTAGAAAGCATCCAAAATTGAGAGTAAACAGTCTTTATTTCCATACCAAAGTCAATAATAATATTGCGTATATATAATTTCAAGACTGACGTTTCTTCAAACCTCACCAAATACTAACAGGCAGAAATACTATATGGCTATAGACACTTGTCGAAAAGAAGCCTGTTTCTCATTGTAATACAACAAATATGTTAACTGCTGCATTTTGGATTTGAAATACTGAATAAAAAACCAATTACACCAAACATATATAATACTTGTATACATACACAATTGCATTACACACACCAGCAGAAGGATACTAAACTGAAACGTGTATTTCTTTGTCTGCTCTGGGCAAAGTGATAATCTCTCTGGGTCTCAGTTCTGAGGAGAAAGACACAAGATCTGGGGTTTCCAGATTTTTTTATATAATAGACCAACTAAACTAAAAAACAATCCCTATACACACATAATTGATTAATAACCTTAAAATGGAAGGGAGACATAATAGCTGAATAAGAGAGCATCATTTAAACCAAATGCATCTAACCTAATTTTTAAAAACTCTGCTCCATTGCTCATATTTTTCTCATTTTGCCTCAGAGCATGCAGACTTGCACTAGCTCACAGACTCTTGATTGAAAACAACCTCTCTAGATAACTCTTAAGTCCTTTCCAGGTCTAAAGTGCTGTGGTTTTGTGGTTCTAAATTTTAATTTATGCTCTATGTAAAAAAAAAGTAACTCGTGAGGAATTTTAAAATTTGGTCTCCCGTATTTCTTTGAGGCTGCCAATAAGTGGCTTCCAGAAAGAGGATGTGAGCACTGTACCACCCAATAGTCACTTGGTAAGAGTTTCCAACAGCCAGGCACTGGGATAGACATTGGGTACCTAAGCGACACACAACACAACTTCTGCGTTCAGCAGGTTCTCATCTAGAGGGGAAACGGGACACTAAACTAAAGAGGCAGTAGGGTACAACAAGTAAAATAATGCAGGGTGTATGCCTGGGGATATGGAACATTTCAGAGCAACACCCTACCAGACTGGGGCGCAGCTGGCTAAAGGGCTGGATGTTCTGGAGAAGATGCTTGAACTGAGTCTCAGAGAACAGAATGAGTGTTAGGCAGCAGGGGATGTCTTCACAGGCGCGTGAGCAACCTGATAGAGCTAACGTGCAGCAATAATCCTGGGGAATCCACATCCTAGCATGTTCCAGTGAGGCTGGAAGCTGTGAGTTGGAGGATTGCTGAAGACACTATAGGGGTAGACAAGTGGCTAAATTTAGGAGAACCTGAAGTGTTACAGGAAGGTGTTTAGACTTGACCCCTGACACATGGGACATCCCTGAAATATTTTCATCAGAGGAGGACACTAGGGTACATCTTAACTGTTTGCTTCTTTTCCCAGCTCAAATTTTAAAGTTAGATCTGTACAATTGAAAAAAATCTGAAGGGGAAGAATTCTTATGCTACCTTTATTATTATTATTATTATTATTATTATTTTTTTTTTTAAGAATGAAGATAAAGTAGTATAGGCTTGTTAAAACAAATTCAACCAGTATAGAAGTGCATAAATAAAGGAGGAAAATTCAGAGACTTCCCTCCCTCATCCACTCAACCAAATCCTACTCCCCAGAATTAATCACGATTTTGAGTTTCTTGTACATCCATGTATTTATTTTCTAAATGTATACAAAAGCATTTATATATAACACTGATATATTGTGAGTTCTCTGATAGAGACTATATTGTGCTACACATATTGGTCTGCAATTTGCCTTTTTCACTTAGTATATTGTCAGTACAGACCAAGCTCATTCTTATGGACTGCATAGTATTGTGCTGTATGCCATGGGTATGTTCCAAATGGTATATAACCATTTCCCTCTTGGTGGTCATTTAGGCAGTTCCCAATTTTCTAGTCATTGCTGCGATGAACACCTTTGACTATTTGCACACGTATGTGTGTTTCCCTAAAGGATAGTTTCTTAAGATTGGAATCACTAGGTTGAAGGATCTAGGCACTTAAAATTATGAAAGCTACTACCTAGTTGCTCTCTAAAAAGCTGTTCCATCTTGTGCTTATCCTGTGTGTACAAGAGGACTCACTTCCTCCCACCATGGCCTAGCTGGGTTGTATCAAGTTTTTGAATCATTACAGATCTGATCAATAAAAGACGTTATGTCCGGTTGGTTCAAGTGATGGTTAGTGAGCTTGACCACCTTTCATATACTTATTGGCTAGATATATTTATTTTTGTCTATGAATTGCGATTTTATAAACCCTACAGGTCAGAGATTCTCAGTCTGGGGCCCCAGGGCTCCTGATATATAATGCGACATTTTCTGTGTGTATTAGATGCACATTATTCTCGGGATAAGCTCCAAGGAACATTAAGAACCGCTAATCATAAACTGTAGGCTGAGAGAAGGATGTGGAAAGGAAGAAGCACGGTTGGAAGGAAGGACGGGAAAGGAGGGAGGGGCCTGTTGCATGACCGGTTATCTGCATGTACGCAGGCCCCTTTTATTATCTCCCCCTGGTCTGTACCAGGCCTTCCCCATAGCATTCTCTCATCTGCATCCCCAGAAAACCCACCAGCCACCCAGGGGCTACTAAATCGCTGTGGACTGGGCTCACTTCTTACTAACAACCATATACATATCACAGAGACTGCTGACAAACAATTCAAGAGGCTTCTTTATTTTTACTTTGGTTCATTGAAACATACAAAAGCCTTATACATACAAGCCGTCACCGATCTATCTGAAAGTACAGAAAAGCCATTAACTTCCATTTTATGTCTTAATTATGTCTCTAACTTACACACAGCTTTTCATCACTCCGACCATCACACCTCGCGTTGAGCTCCACAGCACCCTCCTCTAGGACTCCCCCATAGCCGCTCTGCGATACTCCCTAATCCACTGTCTGCACTTAAGCCTGACTATTTTTTCATTTCAACATCCCCCAGGTGACACCCCTCTCAGGGCTCCCCTTTGCTCCCGACCAAAGTGCCAGTCCCTTAACGCCTGATGCACCCTCCGGGGAGCTACCTGGTCTGCTCCGCCCACCTCCGCTGTTAGACTAAGCCTCCTCACTGTCTAGGCCACACCCACACACAGGCTCCCTCCCACTCCTCGACCTTTGTAATTATGCTAGAATGCTTTCTCTCCCGCCCCTCTCTTTTACTGAGTTCATTTCTACTCAGCTTAAAAATCACTTCCCTGACCTCCCAGCCCAAGTCATGTATTACCGTTTCAGGCTTTTAGAGCATCCTGTACTTTTTTTTTTCCTTTGTAGATCTCTCAGATTTGCAATTACATAGCTCATTAACGTCTGCTTCCATTCCGGCAGGTGAACGCCAAGAAGACAGAAAAGAAGATCTGTCCTCCTCTCTGAAATCCAAGTGCTCAAAGCAGGGCTGATGGGGAGCAGGTGATCAATAAACACTGTTGAAGCGAAGGACGAAAAGGCTGTTATTAGAAATGGTTCCTTGTAGGTCTTGATTTTCCTCTACACTTTCCTTCAGAAATGAGCCCATGGAAATTATGTCTTGGATACAGAAATTTGCTCTTTCAGGTCATGCCCATTATTTATCAGGAACCTGTTGTGAACGGACTAGGCAAGGGGCGGGCGGAACACCGAAGCAAACGAAACTGACTAATCCTCTCCTTCAGCTTAAGTTCCAGGAGGACGAAACAGGTAGTAAACATACCGGATAAGTAAATTATATAGTGTATTTAGAAGGTGTAAAATGCTAGGAAAAAATTCAAGCAGGGTAAGTTGGATGGGTCAGCTAGTTTGGGGGGACCAAAATAGAGCGGGGTTGAGTACTCTCATGACGTTTAAAGTAAATCTGAGAAATACCGCAGGGGTAGATGGGGCTGCAAGTCAGCCCCAGAACCGCTCCTGCCCTGGCGAAAGAGCCACGTGGAGCAGCCTAGAGGCTGGTTGGCGGTAGCTCAGCCAACGCCCTGATGCCTCCATGGCTTCCTTGAGAACTTCATACATTTAAATGTCACTCTTCTCCCCGGAACCCTCCTTCCTCCCTGCCGAAGTTGGTGGATCCTTCTTCCAGGTTCCTAAGACCTTTTGATCATCTCTGTACAGCACCACTTATCTCCCTGTCCTGAAATGATGTATCTTCAGATGCGTTTGCCCCGCCAGAAGGCAAGAATTCCTCAAGGGTAGGGACCACCAGGTTCCAGCATCCAGGATCTGATCATTACCAGCACTTGTTAATACAGAAAGTGCTCCAAGTATTTGACGAATGAGTGGATGCAAAAATAGGTAATGAATGAATGAAGAGAAACAGAATATGTGTACCTATGGGAATTAGAACCCCTTCAGTTTTCCAGAACTTCTCCATATTTGTGTATGCTAATCTTCAGCGCTTCTGGATCCCAAGAATGGTGGAACGGTCAGACAAGACTTTAGAAGGAATCAAAATACTTGGGTAGGGATTCATTAGTGGGTTACAAAATCAGTTTAATAGATACTGAAAAGCATTTTTATAATTAACTAGAATACATGATAAATTAACAGGATGCATCAAAATAAATAAGGTTAAGTGTTTTTCTGACATGTGGCTCCGTTTTCCAAGAACACCCCCAGTTTATTCCTGTTGGATCAGCAGTTATTATCTTCAAAAGTAATAATTTTCCCAATTTTTACAATAAATTAGGGGATCACTTTCATTACATATACTTATGTATATAATTGTCCTAGTGGTTTATGAAGTGGTTACTGTGGACACGGATCAAAAAAGTTTGGAAAAGGCTTTTCTAATCTCTGAAACTCTAAAGAAGCATCATGAAGGAGAAAAGTCTAGGGAAGAAAAGAAAATGAGGTACACCTGGATACCTTCTTCATCCTCACACTATTCTGCATGGGAGGCAACACCATTACATTTTGTTACAAATCTGGGAGCTAAAGCTCATAGGGCTTTAAAGACCTTACCCAAGTTCATATGCCATCAAGTCTTAGTGCCAGTGTTGAAATTAGGTCTACACATTAGGGCAGGGGGAGCATTTTGTTCTACACATAGGAACGGGAAAGTTTTTTGGGTTTTTTTTTGTTTTTTTCTACTTCTTGGAGACCACAACATTTGTAGCCACATAAAAATGTAGGAGAGGACAATGGAGTACATCTCCCACACTAGTATCGTTAAGTTTTATAATTTAATATACATACTTTTATTTTACACATGATCTTAGCCAAAAGGCCGAGAAGCGATACATACTTTTATTTTAGAAGTATTCTGCATTTGGAACTACTTAGTATTTTGACTCAGATGGGAGTTCTTAATTATGGACTGAAAAGTGGATAAATGTTTAGGAGTGACGAAATAAGCCTTGCTAGGCAAAAGCACAGAAAATGAGCAGTTCTTTGAAGAGTCGTACATTAGCAAGCAGTGCAGTATCTGGGGACAGACAATCTAGGTCCAAATCCTAATAGCTATGGGACTATGGTCAGTTTTGTTTTTTGTTTTTTTTTTTTAAGTTTCTCTCTGCTTCAGTTTACTCGTTTATAAAATGCCTACAGGAGTATCTACCTCACAGGGTTCTTGTAAAGACTAAACAAGAGACTATACATATAGCTCTGAACATGCTTCCTAGAATGTGGTAAATCCCAGAAATGTCAGCTTCTAGAAGAATGGAAACAAGACTACTGAAGCTGAAGGTGCTCCCTTTTTACTGCTTACTTCCCATTGACATACACCCACCCCCACCTTCAAAGGTCTTCCTCTAGGTTTTCTGACATTGCTGAAATAACCCCCCAACATGATGTGTTGTTTCTTTTAGAATTGCTGGACTCAGTTTGCTAGTATTTTGCTAAGGATTTCTGTGTCTGTGTTCATGGGTCATATTGATCTCATGTTGTTTTTCTTTTTTCTATTTCTTGTAACATCACTGCCAGATTTTCATATTAAAGTGATGCTCATGAAATGGGAAATAGTCCAACCTCTTAGTTTCTTTTTTAAAGATTTTTAAGTGTTTTTTAATTTATTTCGAGAGGGGGAAGGAGCAGAGTGAGGGAGAGAGTGAATCCCAAGCAGGCTCCATACTGTCAGTGCACTGTAAGCAGACAAACCATGAAAGCATCAAAACTGAGATCATGACCTGAGCTGAAATCAAGAGTCAGACGCTTAGCCGACTGAACCACCCAGGTGCCCCATCCATCCTCCTACTTTCTTAAAGAGCTTGTGAGACATTGGTATGTTTCTTAAATATTTAATAGAATTCATAAGAGAAACCTTCTGGGCCTAAAGTTTTCTTCTAGGAAAATTTTTTAATTTACATACTTAATTTCTTTAGGAGATATAGGGCTTATTCGGGTTTTCTACTTCTTCAGTCATATTTGGCAAATTGTATCTTTGCCCATTCATCTAAGTTGTTGCATTTATTGACATAAAATTATTCATAATATTCATTTATTATCCTTATGATGTCTGTAGCATCTGTAGTGTGTCACTGATATTCAGTATTTATGTCTTCTTTTTTTCTTAATGAATCTTTCTAGAGGTTTATAAATTTTGTTGAAAATTTCCAACTAGCTTTTGGTTCAATGATTTTCTCTATTATTTTTGTTTTAGATGTCATTCATCTCTCTTTTATCTTTTTTTATTTTCTCTCTTCTACTTATTTTAGGTTTAATTTGCTCTTGTTTTCCTGCATTTTAAGGTAGAATCTCAGATTATTGATTTTAGACCTTTATTCTTTTCTAATATTAACACTTTGCGCCATACATTTCCTTTGAGATACTATTTTAACTGCATCTCATAAATTTTGATATGTGTTTTCATTTTCATTCAGTTCAAAATATTTTTTTTAATTCCCTTATGATTTCTTCTTTGGCCCATGTGTTGTTCAGAAGTGTGCTATTTGATTCCTAAATATTTAGAGAGTTCCCAAATAGCTGTTATTGATTTCTAATTTAATTTCACTATGGTCAGAGGACAAACCCTATGAATTAAATTTGTTAGAACTTGTTTTATGACTAACATATGGTCTCCCTTGGTTAACGTTCCAGGTGAACTTTTTAAAAATGTATATTCTGCTGTTGCTGGGTAGAGTATTCTATGAATGCCAATTAGGTACAGTTGATTGATGGTGTCATTTAAATCTTCACTATCCTTGCTGATTTTGCCTTCTTTCTTTATTGATTGTAAATAAGAAGTGTTGAATACTCCAACTATAACTGAGGATTTTTAAATGTCCTTTCAGTTCCATCAGGTTAGGTTTGTATTTTTTAATTTCACATATACTTTTATCTAATTTTCACAAAATACCCATGACATATGTAGATTATTTTTATTTACAAGAGAGCAAACTTTCACTCGCAGATTAAATGATTTTCCCAATTCCACACAAATGATTCACTTCAGAGAATTTAAATGACCTCTGACTCATTCTGTCAGGTTTTGCTTCATGTATTTTGAAGCTCTGTTTCATTTAGGCTTGTCATATCTCCCCAATAAATTAAATACTTTATCATTATGAAAGTTTCCTCCTTATTCCCAGTAATATTCCTTTTTATATTGCATACTTTACTTGGTATTAATATAGTCACTCCAACTTTGTTATAATTTATGTTTGCAATAGTATATCTTTTCCATCCTTTTAGTTTTAACAATCTTGTCCATATATTTGAAGTGGTTTGCTCATACAGTATGTGATAGAATCTTACTATTTATCTAGTCTGTCAATCTCTGACTTGTAATTGGACTCTTTAGATCATTTGCATTTAATATAATTATCAGGATGGTTGAGTTTAAATCTACCACTTACTATTGGGTTTTGCTTTATCTCATCTTTTCTTGTTACTTTTTTCTTCTTTTCCTGCTTCTTTTGAGTTAATTGGTACTGCTTAATATTCCATTTTGTCTCCACTGTTGGTGAGATATATTTTCATTTACTATTTTATTTTAGTGATTGCTCTATACTTTACAATATGCATTTTAACTCATAATTTATATTCAAATAGTATTATACCATTTCATGTATAACATAAAATCCTTGACACTATGGACTTCCCACTGCTCCCATTCTGTCTTTCAAGCTATTGTCATACGTTTTGTTTCTACACATTTGATAAGTCTCAAAAACACATTGCTATTATTTTTGCTTTATACAGTCAATTAACTTTTAAAGAAATTTTAAAATAAGGAAACAAATCTTTTCCATTTGTCCACATATTTACCATTTCTGGTGTTTCAGATTTATATCTGCTGTCATTTTGCTTTTGCCTGAATAATTTCACTTAACATTTCTTTCAGTATGTATATACTATGGCAACAAACTTCTTCCAGTTTTGTTTGTCTGATAATGTTTTTATTTCATCTTTGTTTTTGAAGGCTATTTCCACTGGATATTGAATTCCAAGTTGACTTTTCTCTCTGAGCACCCTGAAGGTGTTATTTCATTGTCTTCTGGCTTCCTAAATTTCTGAGGTGGAGCCTGTAGTCATTTTAATGTTTATTTCTCTGTACTTAGTGTGTGTTTTTCTCTGACTGCCTAAAGATTCTCTTTTCAACTCTGGTTTTCAGTAGTTTGATTATTATGTGCCTTGATTTTTTTTTCATGAGTTTTTAAGCTTCTCAGATTTATGAAATACAGTATTCACTGAATTTTGAAGTGTTTCAGCCATTATTTCTTCAAATGTTTTTCTGCCCCTTCTTCTCTCCTTTCCTCTTTATGGTAGATCATTTGATATTATCTCACTGATCACCGAGCCTCTTTTCATCTATTTTTTTTTCAACCTTTTTTCTCTCTGTGGATCATCTTGAATCAATTTAATTGCCATGTTTACAGGTTCACTAATCCTTTCTTCTGCAGTGCCTAATCTGATGTTAATCTTATCCAATGAAATCTTCAGTTCATATATTGCAGGTGGTTCTTTTTCTTTCATTTTTCTTCTGATTATTTTTATGTTTTCCTTTAAATGCTTACACATAATGATAAAATCTATCTTAACATCATGTCTGCTAATTCCATTATTTTGTCATTTCACTGTTTCTCTTAACTGCTTCTTCTCCTTGTTGTGTTTTTTTCTTGCTTTTAATCATGGCCAGTAATTTTTTTTATTTGATGCCAACATTGATATTGTTACATTATTAGTGTCTGTCTTGTGTTGTCTTTCTTTAAAGAGCATTGGGCTTTGTTTTTGGCAGGCAGTGAAATTAATTGTTCCATCGGTTTGATTCCCCTTCAAGACCTGTCTTTAAGCTTTACTAGAGAGAGGCAAGAGCTGTGCTATCCAATATGGTAGTCACTAACTATATGTGGCTATTAAAATATGACTAATCTAAATTAAGATGTGCTATAGGTATAAAATATACAATAGATTTTGAAGACTGAGTACCAGGAAAAGAATGCAAACTTCCTCATTAATAAGTTTTATATTGATTACATGTTGCACTGATAATAGTTTGGATATATAGGATTAAGTAAAATATATTAATTTTACCTACTTCTTTTTCCTTTTTACTGTGGTTACTAGGCATTTTAAATTACATATGTGGCTTGCATTATATTTCTATTGGACAGTGCTGATCTAGAGCAGAGGTCAGCAAACTACCGCTCAGAGGTTGGCCACTTGTTTTTTCTTAATAAAGTTTTATTGGAACACAGCCACATCCATTCAGTTAATATCGTCTATGGCGGCTTTCACACTACAATGGCAGAACTGAGTATCTGTGATGAAGACTATATGACCTACAAGCCAAAAAGAATCGCTATCTGTAATTTAAGAAAAGCTTTCAACCCCTGGTCCAGAGTATCTCACTCAAAGGAGAGTTCAGACCTATTACTAACATATGATTACTTTAGGATCTCCACTGAATGTTCCAAGGATGAGCAAGGACTCTTCCCTTTGGCCAACCAAACTTTCTCCCAGTCCATGTGTGCCCTGAGATTTATTCATCTTACAACTCACCAGTCTTTTCTGTCCAGCCTTGTGGAGTGTCATGCTATACACTTATGTCCTGGTACTCAGCAAAGACTCAAGAGATTCCTATACATATTTCTGGAGCAGTTTTTCTGCATAGCTCCCTCTTCCCAGAACTCTGTCTCACTACCTCTAACCATCTCAGCCTCCTCAAACCCTGACCTCCATCTTACCAACTCAGCAAGGCTGCCAAAATCTGTTTGGATCCCCCCTTCCTGAGTCCACAGTCTAGAAATTGCTTCCAGGCAG